GAAGGAAGGAAGGAAGGAAGGAAGGAAGGAAGGAAGGAAGGAAGGAAGGAAGGAAGGAAGGAAGGAAGGAAGGAAGGAAGGAGAAAACTAAAGAGATTCACTCTAAGGGGAAAAAAAAGGATATCCCTAAGGACATACTGTTCTGTGGGACTCATCAAAACTCACTTTTAAAAGGCTATTTACCTGCTTCAATGCATATCCAGTAGTCAAAATCGGGTTTACTTTTTTCCTTTTTTGGTTGGTCGTGGGGCTTGAACTCTGGGGCTTCCCTGTGCTCTTCAGCTCAAGGCAAGTGCTCTAGCTTGAGCCACAGCACTACTTCCAGTTTATCTCCAGTTAATTGGAAATAAGTCTCAAGGACTTTTCTGCCCGGGCTGGCTTTGAACCATGATCCTCAGATCTCAGCCTCCTCAGCAGCTAGGATTACAGGCATGAGCCACCAGTGCCCGGCTGATGTTTACTCTTATCTGTAATACAATCAAGTAACTTCTTCCTCTACCTTGAACAAGTTGGACTAGGTAATTTCTAAATCCCTTCCAGTTCTGAAATAATATTTAGAGTTTAAAAGCTTTCTTATACAGAAAATAAAAATGTTACAGAATGACTTACCAGTAGTTGGGAGTTCAATCTTATTGCAGTGGTCTTGATTGCAACAATACGTTGTTGTAACAACTCCAGTTTTTGAAGAGGGTGCACATACAAATGGCCTGTCTCTTGGAATTAGGTCAATTTCAGCTATACACATGCTATTGTGTATAACTTTATCTGTGGTCTCTGTGACAGAGACAAAACAGAGCCCATCCGTCACACAGGTGAAATTGTCTTTTGTACATAGGTGGCAGAAACACTGTAATGCTAGAAAGAGAACAAGACTTCATTAGGGGAAAAAAAAAGCAAGATTAAGTGTGAAATTATTATCCAACATTTATTCTGTTAATATATGTTTTTTGTATTTGTGTGATGATACTGGGGCTTGAACTCAGGGGCTGGATACTGACCTTTAGCTTTTCACTCAAAGCTGGAATTCTAGTACTTGAGCCATAGTCCACTTCTGGCATTTTGGTGACTATCTGGAGATGAAGGCTCACAGAGTTTCCTACCCAGGCTGTCTTTGAACTGTAATCCTCAGATCTCAGCCTCCTGAGTAGCCAGGATTACAGGTGTGACCAACAAGCACCCAACTGTTAATATATTTGTGAACCTATTATCATATAATTGGCATTCACTGTTCAAAACACAAAACTCTCCATTACTCTTAGAGTATCCAAATTCTGCTGAGAGTCATGTATCTGTAGAAACCCAAGGAAATATAGTGAAATTTTGCAGAAACCCAAGGAAATAAGTGAAATTTTCACCCCAAGTATTTCCTAAGTATTTTGCTTCTAAGTACAGAAAACAAAAACTGTCCTATAAAATTTTGTTGAGGTATAACAAGCATTTGCCCTCCCATTTGAAACAATGTATATTTTTTAATGGTTACATTTTTTAATGGTTACACCTCCCAAAACTGTAATTCACATATACCCCAACTGAGGAGCAATGTGTGAAAACACTACCACAAGACTCACTGTAGATTGGAAATGCCATTTAGTGGATTTATGGTAATGTAGTATTGCATATTGGGCCAAACACTTTCTATTTGTCTTTGTGCAAACTATTGAGAAATTCATATATTCTAGCTAGCTTGGGGTCACTATCACTGAATGAAGTCAAGCAGACTATATCAGTAGCAATTCATTTACATTCCAATCGCCTACACAACATAGCTACAACTGGAGAATATAGGTCCGTTTATAGCTACTTAAAATTTTATGAATCACTGCAGAAATGACCCCTTTAGGATAGTTTAATTATTACCAACATCTCATCTATATAGATACACACTCCCTCAGCCATGCTCTCTAATGAGTGTGCCCTGAAGTACAATACTTTCCCCAGTAAGAATCTAAGTTCTTTAAGGCCACGGACATATGTCAATCATTCCTTAAGTCTACCATCTAACACTAGGTCTGATATAAAGCAGCATTAAAAAAAAAAAAAACTTGTTAAATAGATAGCACATGGGTACTTATATTTCACTGTGGTTTCCTGAAGCTACAAAGCAAAGATATGTCCCTAAATCCAGTAAGACTTTCAAATGACTGCTCACTGGTATGGGAAAGGGAAAACCCTGCGTGTATGGAATGAGGTCTCTAGTATAAAACAAGAGGAGGTCCACTACATCTACAAAAGAAGCAGCTAAGCAGACTGCAGGTCAGGAGTATAGCAACTCCCTGAACATTTACTGTTCAACTCAGAAGGGCTGAGCTGCTCAATTCTATACATTCCAAAAAAGACTTGTCTTTAAAACTGGCCTTGACGAGTTCCTGGGACAACCTCTGAATCTTGGAATATTATCCTTGATAAGAATATTTCTGTCTGCCTTAGGGCCTGGCTTGTAGTATCAATTCAATAAGTTAATTTATACCAGTGATGTGATTACCTATTTTTGCTGTTGGGGTAGGGCCCCCTATGGAAGAAAGGAGAAAGCCTTCTTCTCCCTCCCTCTCTTTCGTGGCTAACATAATGTAGTGGCTCTGCTCTGCCACCCTCTCCTTGCTATGATGGATAGAAACCTCTAAAATCATGAGCAATATAAATCCTTCCTGCCTTATATTGCTTCTGTCAGGTATACTCTAACAGCAATGAAAAATCTGATTAAAACAATAACTGACCTCTTAGTAATAATTCTAGACACCAAGGTACAGGTAACACCATGTGCTGTCATATGTCATTATTAAAGAAAAGGAAGAACTAGATGCCTGTAATAGTACCTATTTAGGAGCTGAGATCTCAGAATCACAGTTCAGAGGCAGCCTGGGCAGAAAAGTCCATGAGGCTCTTATCTCCAACTAACCACCAAAAAAAGTCAGAAGGGGAGCTGTGGCTCAACTGATAAGAGTGCTAGCCTTGAGTAAAAAAAGCTCAGAGAGGGGCTGGGAAGTTGGCTCAGTAGTAGAGCGCTTGCCTTGCATGCCTGAGGCCCTGGGTTCGATTCCTCAGCACCACATAAGCAAAAAGAAAAAAACCGGAAGTGGCGCTGTGGCTCAAGTGGTAGAGTGCCTAGCCTTGAGCTGAAGAGCTGAGGGACAGTGCTCAGGCCCAGAGTTCAAGCCCCACAACCGGACAAAAAAAAAGCTCAGAGACATATCCAGGTTCCAAGTTCAAGTCTCAGGACCAGCACAAAAACGATATGTTAGTGGAAGAAGTCACCTGGAACATTAGCTTGTTCTCTCTAGGACTGTCTTTACCTTTGCTGATTTTAACCTTGTATCTTTTCACTGTAATAAACCCTAGCTATAACTTATTATAATAGCTTTTCTGAGTCTTATAAATCCTTCTACCAAATCACTATACCAGAAGGTGGTCCTGGGGCTACTGAACTGACAAAAATGTCAGATTTTCCTGAAGCAGCTACTTTTTAGTTGCTGGCACAATTTATACTCTATTATCTTTTTGTATGGTGTGTGTGTGTGTGTGTGTGTGTGTGTGTGTGTGTGTCTGTGTGTGTGTGTGTCTGTGTGTGTCTGTGTGTGTGTGTGTTTACTCAGGGACTACTGCTCTATTACTAGAAACAATCTCCAGTCTTGCTTGCTGTTGGTAAAGGGGAGATGGAATTTCACAGACTTTTCTGTACAGGCTGGTTTCACAGCACAATCCTTCATACTTCAGCCTCCTGAGCAGCTAGGATTATAAGCCATGGGCACCCTTCCCCACCCCACCTTTAACAGGCCAGCAAAGTTTTGCCATAACCATTAGAAAAAAATTCTTTCTTCATAAACAATTCAACTATCTGACTTAACTTTTTGCAAGTACGAAGGAAACTCAAGAAAAGTACAAGAGACCCAGGAGTGGTGATACACTCTTGTACTTTTCTAGGATCTTGGAGACTACATAAGATGATGGTAAGCTAGAGGCCATCCTCAGCTATATAGTAAGATCTCACCTTAAAGAACAAACAAATGAATAAGCAAAAAAAAAACACAACAACAACAAAAGTACAAGAAAAAGACATAACCATAAATCTATTTAAACAGTTACCAAGAGACAGTAGTTATTCATATTGATATTAGGTGGTAAGTGTAAATTCACCGAGTGCAATTTCCTAGGGAAAGACTTTTGACCTAGGAATTTATGGACTGGCTTCAGAATACATGAATCCCATGAAACTAAAAGCCAAATGTTGCACATACTTGCATTTTCAAGAAGTTCTATAGAATTCAACAGAACAAAGTGGTCTGTGATTCAGAAAACATTAAGACTCTACCACAAGATGTTATTATCCTCCTCCCCTGAATGTCCTTACTCTTGAGTAGTTGGTCAATTGTGTTTTGTTTTTTGTTTTGTTGGTCGTGAGGCCTGAACTCAAGGTTTGGGCACTGTTCCTCAGCTCTTCAGCTCAAGGCTAGCATTCTACCACTTGAGCCACAGCACCACTTCTGGCTTTTTCTGCTTATGTGGCACTGAGGAATCAAACCCAGGGCCTCATGCATGCAAGGCAAGCTCTCTACCACTGAGCCACCTTCTGGGCCCCTCAATTGTGTTTCTAAGCATTACCTTTATCAGTTACTTCACCAAAAGCTTTGAGTACTTATGCAGATCATTATAATACAATGCAGTAACTGCAACTGTCTAAAAAATGGCTGCTCCAGTATATATGAGGTTAAGTGCTAAACAAACATCTTCTGTTCAATTAAGACGTATAAGGGGATAGCAGGGGCAGAGAGAGAAAAATGAGGGAAGGGATAACAAGTTTGACAAGAAATGTACTCACTACCTTACTTAAGCAACTGTAATCCCTCTGTACATTACCTTAACAATAAAATTAAAATAAAAAGACTTTTTTTTTTTTTTGGTCCAGTCGTGGGGCCTGAACTCTGGGCCTGGGCGCTGTCCCTCAGCTCTTCAGCTCAAGGCTAGCGCTCTACCACTTGAGCCACAGCGCCACTTCC